TTTAAAAATCAATATTGGAGAACAGTATCAGTAAGATATATGGAGATACAGCTTAAAGAACAATGTTGGGAAGAAGAAGGTAGACAATTTAGCAACTACATAGGTACTGATGACTATAAAAAACACAACAACAAAATGAGATTTTTAGATGGGAAATGTAATGAATCCTTTTATAAACTAGTAGAAGTAGAAAGATGCATGTTACAAAATAAATTAATCAGAAGAAGAGAAAGAGGTGATGTATTAAATCGTATCAATCATGTTAATAATAAGAGTGGGTGGTTGCATCCCTGGTCAGAATATGAAATAGAAGAAATGATTAATCCTATAGATGATGAACTTAATATATTTTTAGATTCAAATAGGGTAATAAATTCTCAGCTACTCGATCCATGTATAATCCTGGTTTTGCTACTCTTTGTCTGCATGTAAATTTCACATTTTGTTTGAGGAAAATAGCCAAAGGTTTTTTTGAATTTTTCTTTTTTCCCCTATATGCATAAGGAAAATGGCACTTATAAGAACTAGTTCTTCAATTAAACCTTCCTTTAAAGCAAGAAAATTTTCTTTAGCTGGTGACAAGAAAGCAACTTCAAATCTTCAAGGAGAGCCTCAAAAGTTTCCTGAAGAAGGTTCTGTTAGTTTATTTCTTTTGCTTTTTTCAAACTTTTCAACTGCTGCTGTTTCTTGTTCAGTTCCTTCAAACCCAATTATTTTATAAGAAACACCATAGTCATTTGGCTCAACAATAGTGTTTTCTCAGAATTTCTTAAAACATTCTGCAAAAGAAATATTAAAATTACCAATTTCATAAATGCCTGCTGATCTAGTTGGCATAAGAACTTCAAATGATTTTTAAGGGATGGCCTTTTTGTTGAGAAACTTGTTTGATCAAACAATGAAGACAATTAACTTTATTTTGATTCATATGTTAATGTTTTTGATATTAATTATTTTTACTGTAAGTTTGCTTTGGACAAGTAATATCTTTATATTTATCTTTCACAAATGGATAAAATAGATAAAGCTTTAATTCTTCAAAATATCTGCTTTCTTGATTTTCAATAAATTGAACTCAACAAAAGGTCCATTAGCAACTTCTTGAACTTTACTTTGCCAAGATTAGATTCTTCAAAAAGAAAATGTTGATATTTCTGAATGCTTGGTAATTTCTTAAAATAAATTCCCAAAATAGCTTTAATATATAAATATTGAAAGACTTTTCCACCTTTATAACACTGTGCTTTATTTAATCCTGTTGGACTAGACTTTTTCACCACCTAAATCACATGATCTAGACAATCTACTCTTGTTTTTCTGTAGAGTTTTTTAATCAGGCCAAAACTACCATCACATTTGAATTTGGTATGTCCAGGAATCATGAAATTCAATTCAATACTTTCATAATATCCACAAATTACTAAATATAAATAGAACCAAATTGTTACATTATTTTTATTCTGTCCACCAGCATTATCACAAGTAATCTTTAAATGCTTTTCACCTTTGTTCAATTTTTTAATTCCATCAAAGATCATACTAAGGGTGCCATTGAGTCCTTTTCCTATAATTTCATTTTCATCAAGGACATAATTAATTTGTTCCCTTATTGCTTCATCTTGAATACTAAATAAATGAACTTTGCGTGGACTAAGATAATAAATTAATTGCTTCTTTTTACAATCTACTGCTCTTGATGTTGTAGTTACTCCAAGACTTGTATCTATTGAGTCTAAATAGAGTACAAGGTCAAACTTAAAAGAGTTAATTTTTGTATTATTTAAAACAAGAAGAAGATAACACATGAACACCATTACATTCAAATGGCCAAGCTGCCAAATAGAGCTGGTCAACAAACCCCTTCAAGCTTGGTTCTATTTCTTGGAGTAATCTTTGTATTTCATCAAAATTGTATATAGGACTATGGTTGCTTGCCAAAACTTCTCTGGAAATCAATCAGCAGAGTTTTGGCAGGTAACACACTAATTGTTTGTTAGAGTTTCAGCAGAGTTTTGCATTTAGGGATTTCAACAATTAGCAGAGTTTTGGCAGGTTACACACTAATTTTTAATTAGAATTTCGGCAGAGTTTCAGCAGTCATTAAGAGGTTTCAACAAGCAACCTTATATAGGACCTTGATGGCTCTAGTGAAATCAATCTTTTCACTTACCTCTTCCTCTTCCTCTTCCCCTTCTGCATCTGTGGTTTTTACTCTCCTAGGTTCTCTTTTTAAAAGATTTTCTACAAAATTCATATAACATATGTTACATAAAACAACATGCTACCTTCACTAAGTTGTTGTTCTTAGCTTCTTTCCATCTATTGCCTTTCGTTGATGAAATTTAGCTGATTCAGTGGTTTTACATTCTGTGCAACTATACATGAAGTCGAAATGTTTCGACTTGAAGCAACTACATAGTAAAAATCAGTTTTGACCTTATTTCGACCCTATTTTGACCAGATCTGCAAATGGTCAAAATAGTTTCGACTTCATGTATAGTTGCAACCAGGTGTCACAAACCATTTTTATATGTCGCAAATATGGTTGCAACCATCACCAAGAATTGCAGCCAGCATCTATATTATGGTGTGGTTGACATTGTTGTGATTAAATTCAAGCCATTATAAAAAAATAGTTAATCTATAATACACTTATGTGTTAACCCTCACTGAAATTGTGTAGAAGGTGCATAGAATGTTATCCTGATGAGATCGATGGATGAAATTTTGTCAATATTATTCTTACAACTAGAATATTTTAATTAATAAAAACCCCATTTTTTAAAACCTGATCTTTTACAATAATTTGATTCAGATGTCTTGCAGTTCAATCACTTGTTGTTTGATAAAATTTAAAGCTTCAAAATTTTTAATGAAATTTTATTTTTAAAAAGAAAAAATTTTTATTGAAATAATTATATGTAGTTACTATAACACCCAAAACTCACATCAGTTTTTAAAACAGTCATAGGCTAAATACAGTGGTTTAAATGAAAACAATTTAACAAATAAATAATCTTGTATGATCTAATTTGAAGTCGAAATGTTTCGACTTGAAGCAACTACATAGTAAAAATCAGTTTTGACCTTATTTCGACCCTATTTTGACCAGATCTGCAAATGGTCAAAATAGTTTCGACTTCATGTATATGTGCAACATTTAATTTCAAGCATTTTTTCTTCAAGTAAATCATATTATGAAAGTTGTGGGATTCAAACAGATTCAAAAAATATGATAACAACAAAGTGTAAAGCTTCAAGTTTGTGTAATTATTTACACATGATTTATTGCAAGAATGGGCTACATGATACCCTTGTAAAAGTATTTTAAACTGTATAAAAAAAATTGAAATCAATTGTGAAAATCCATTCCTTATATAGGACGATCTCTCCTGTTATTTTACCTCGCCGGGTGGATGATTTTAGCGAATTTTCCGTCGGAATTTGTCCAGCCTAGGGTTAACCTATTCCACCACAGTCCAGGTAAGATAGGATAAGCCTTTCGGAAAATGTCCGCATTAGGTGAATTAATTTCTATATACTTTCTACCATCAAAATTGGAATAATTTTGACCATCAAAATCACCAAACAAATTTGGGCTGCATGTATAGTCACAAATCAACCTTGATGAAGTAGACATTTTAGGAAAGGACGTAGTAAACTAATAAAAATAATAAGTAAATGAGTCAGTAGTTCTCTGACACATTTCATCAACAACCACTTCGTAATAACAGAATTGACTTGAGCATAGGTATGTTTACATTTATAAATCTTTTATTTCAATGCTGTTAAATTCTACAATTGACAAATCTTCAACTGATTTTTTAGATTCCGTAACATCATCTGTATTGCAGTATAAACTATCATCATCACTCTCAGCACCATCACCACAGACATTTTGATCAATACCAACAGCATTATCATAATTATCACCATCATCATTCATGCCTTCTTCAATCTCCATTTTCTGATATAGATATTCGATATTCTTTTCTTTTGCGCATTCTTGAATAAATCTCCAATACTTGGCGGAAGAGGTTCTTAAAGTTTCAATATATGAATAAAATGCTTTTGATGTATTAATAAATTTCTTATACTGTAAATGTCAATATAATTTTAAAAAATCTCAGAAAAAATCATTAGAAAACTTTTTTAGTATATAATTATATTAACGCAAAGCTCTCGATGAGAGTGGCTAATATAATACCAGCAAAGCAAATTTCGTTTTTCTTTTTTTACATTAATATATTAACCAAGGCTTTCAACGAAAGTGATATAATATATTTAACATACATGCTGGTCAGAAAATTTGATGCGCGCAATCAAGAAACGTTATTTGTGTGGCCATCACGCAGATAATAACTTTAGAAAGACCAGAATTCCATCATTACAGCAAATTAAGTCATCCTCGATACACTTACTAAATCATTATTAAAAAAACGATACTTCCATCATAGTTGTTCTTGAAAATAGCATTAATTTGCACTACTTCACTTCTAAAAGTCAATTGCTTTCTCAAGGCTAAAAATATATAAAAATTGTAAATATCTTGTTGTATTAATGAGTTTTTCACTAATGCTTGGTATGACTTTAAAAGGTCTTTGACGGGTAAGTTAGTCATTATTAATTTTTGATAAATTGCAAAGGTGAGAAATTTTTCTATGCAATATCAGTATTTACGCCAAGGAATCTAAAAATAATTTCGTTGCTCTGATAATGTGATAAACTTATTTTATTATTTCGGACCTAAATATGTGTGTTACAAGATACAAATATCAACTGATTTGTGATACTTATCTGTGGAGACCCATCTACAATTATGCTTCCACTGCTATGCTTTTATCTGGAAAATTTGATACGGTTTTTTCCCATTCCTTCATAAGGTCATCGAGTCATGCAGTACTTAAACGACTTTCTAGTATACCACGACGCAATAATTCTTCACCGATCAGCCTATCCCGATCAGTTAAAAATTTATGATATTTTCTAGGACCTTCCTTTCTTTCTATTGCACCTTGATAAAAACGTATATCTCAACATAATGACTGATGGAAGTGTCAGTGTAAATCTGAGAAAAGTGACAAAATAAAAATAAGTACACATGAATTTGGTGATGATGAAAAATTTTACCCTTTGAAGGTGATCGATCATGTAATGGATCAGATCCAGGTCATGGCAATGAGAAAATGGTATTAGTTGGCAGGATTTATTAGAATTGGAATAAAAGAAACTTGAGTTAAAAATAATAATACCAGTTTCAAATATTCCAAGTAGTAAGGTATTATAATAAGCTAATTTTAACATTAATATTAATGATTTGTCTCTATTTTTATAGATATGTCAAAGCCATCATGTTCTTCAATTGATGGCTATATACATTATCTCATATATATTTTCAATATAAACAACAGATTCTTGAATTTTATGGAGAAAGAAAATGGTCTAGAAGACATATTAATAAACAAAAGGCCTATGATAAAATATATGAGCGAATTACAAATAACGATAAAAAAACAATGGTGGCGTTTAGGAATTGTGGTTTTTCCAAGTCATACTCAGGACACGTCGAGTAAGAGATGTAGAACAAGCAGGATATGTTGTGTGACGTGTTTTGGTCCGACTAAATGTCTTTAATTACTTATGTTATTTGTTTTCCATAGATTATTTATTGGAAATCGCAATGCTAATGCAGCTCGTAATATAAGGACTTTTTTTGTTTATAAATCAAAGATGCTTTAGGAGGACAAATAATTAATATTTATTTTTTATCACGCCGGCGTGGTTGTTGCAGGATGTAAAACCAACCATCTAGAGTCTTTTGGTAGAGACAATGACGCGTGATTATAAAGTTATGGTCAGCGTCTTGGAATAGAATGATACTTAAATCAGACATAACTTACATATACTTAATTTTAACCCAATCTGCTGAATACTTTTTTTACAAAAAACTTAGAAAAAAGAATATTTTATTGGAAACTTGTAAATGGATATGAGGGAGTAGATTGCCAGTGATATTATAAAATCGATGATGAATGTAAAGATATTTAATATTGATGAATGTAAAGATAAAATTAATTTAATTAATATTATAATCATTAAACAACCCTGTTATTTTTATTGAGCTCTGATATATTGAAAAATCCAATAATATAAATAAATGAATATAAAAATAAATATACTAATAATATGTAAGAATATATGTAATTTTTTTTTTAGCTGATTGTTGTAGAATAAAAAATTTTTTATTTTGCATACAATAATTTCTCATACTATGTTTACTCGATAAGGCCTTACCTTTGTTGTCTCATACATTGCAATATCTTTTTTCCAAATATCTTCTGTATTAAGTTCATTTTTTAAAGAAGTTGTTATTGATGCATTACTTATTTCTAAAGATGACGATTTATCATTGTTGTGGTGGTGGTTGTTGTTATTATATGATTGTTCTAATATTTCATCTGATGATGATGATGATGATCTTTGATTATTTATATTATTTATAGTAGTAAATGATTTTTTATTTATTAAAGGTTTAATTATTGATTCAAATATTACAGTAGCACCTTTAAATCTATCATTTTGTGCCCAATAAAGAAATAATAATTTGAAAATATTATAACCAGGAAATAATTTAAGTAGTGATCCAGACCAATAATCTGCAATCTGTAACCATCCATAAATTGTCCAATATGTTAACCATTGTTTTTTTTCTTTATCTGTTGTTGAAGAAAAAGAAGAAACTGTTCTTTTTCTTCTTCCATCTTTATTATTATCATCATTTTTATCATCATCGTCATCATCATTGTTATTATTATCATCTGATTTTTCCTTTCCTTTTTTTTCTTCTACTTTTTCTTCTTCATTACCGATAATCTTCATTGATCGATAAGTTGGATAAACTACACCGATCAAATTACATAGTAAATATAATGATCTGTTATACATATTTTTAACGGTTAATCCTGTGAATATTATCAATAAAATAAAAAGATAAAATCTTGATATTCCAAGTTTAACAAGTCCTGAAAATAACCAATTCTTATTACATCTATTTTCAAATGTTGATACGTGGCTTATAACCTCTTGACGAATAAAATTAGTTAATGGTGTAAGATTTAAAGGACTCAAGATTTCAATATTTGTGAGTAAACAGTCAAGTGTAGCAGTTGTTGGTAAATTTTCACTGGACGAGGACGACATTTTTCGCTTTGCATTATCATCATTTACTAAATTCATGTTTTATTTACTAAACAAAAAACGTGATATAAAATATAAAAAAAAAAATTCATACATATATGTAACACTTGCAAATGAAAAAATGTAAAAATGAATGAAAAAATAAAAATGTAAAAAAAAAATGATACAAAATATTTTATATTTATATAACTATATATATAGCTGAGTCAAATATTTTTAATTATTGTAATGTTTTTTTTTATAAAATATTTTTAATTTGATTTCTATAAAATCGTAATTCATTGTTTTAGTTATTATTTCCTTAGTCGACTTCTTCGATAGTAGGCCCAGAATCATCTCCAGTTCCAGTATTGGTGCTTGGAAAACCACCTGGAGCATTACCACCTGGAACACCACCAGCACCATAAAGTTTCATCATTATTGGATTGGCAATTTCTTCAAGTGATTTCTGTTTATGTTCGTATTCATCTTTTTCTGCTTCTTGATTATGGTCTAGCCATGTGACTGATTCTTGAATTGCATCTTCGAGTTTCTTTTTATCGGCTGGATCAAGCTTACTTGAAACTTTTTCATCCTGTGTTATTATTATTATAATTATAAATAAAGTTTATCAGATTGTGAATTTATTATTTTTACAAGATTATTTAATAAACAATTTACCTGGAGTGTGTTACGTAAATTGTATGCATAACTTTCTAATCCATTACGTGCTGTTATTTTTTGAGCTACTTTTTCATCTTCTTCACGGTACCTCTCAGCATCCGAAACTAAATTGATCGATTATTAATTAATAAATGAAATACGTTATATATAATTTTTAACTCAAAAATTTAAAAGTTTGTTATCATTTGATTGTTTGCTTACCCATTTTTTCAATTTCTTCTTTTGATAATCTTCCTTTATCATTAGTAATTGTGATCTTATTAGATTTACCAGTAGTTTTATCAACTGCAGATACCTAATATATTAAAAAATTTTTGTTAATTTTTTATAAATAAATACATTAATTCTAACTCTATTTAGAATTACAACCATAATTGGGATAAAAATGCAATAACATACATTAAGAATACCATTAGCATCAATATCAAAAGTAACTTCAATTTGAGGTACACCGCGTGGAGCTGGCGGAATACCCGTTAATTCGAATTTACCCAATAAATTGTTATCTTTGGTACGAGTACGTTCACCTTCATACACTTGAATAAGCACTCCGGGTTGATTATCGGCATATGTAGAAAATATTTCTGATTTTTTGGTTGGAATGACAGTATTACGTTTGATAAGAGATGTCATCACGCCACCGGCTGTCTCGATACCAAGTGAAAGTGGTGCAACATCAAGTAAAAGAAGATCTTTTGTTTTCTCGGATGTGTCACCAGTCAAAATGGCTGCTTGAACAGCTGCACCATATGCGACAGCTTCGTCGGGATTTATGGATTTGTTTGGTTCTTTGCCATTGAAAAAGTCTGTTACTAATTTTTGAATTCTTGGAATACGAGTAGATCCACCAACCAACACAACTTCATGTACTTGGGATTTATCAATTTTTGAATCACGAAGCACCTTTTCAACTGGTTCCATTGTGGAACGGAACAAATCTTGATTCAATTCTTCAAACCTAGCACGAGTTATAGATGTGTAGAAATCAATACCCTCAAAAAGTGAATCAATTTCAATAGATGTTTGTGCTGATGCTGAAAGTGTACGTTTGGCACGCTCGCAAGCTGTTCTGAGACGACGAAGTGCTCTAGCATTTGTGCTAAGATCTTTTTTGAATTTACGTTTGAATTCCTGAACAAAATGATTTACTAGACGATTATCAAAATCTTCACCACCAAGATGGGTGTCACCAGCAGTGGCCTTGACTTCAAAAATACCATCTTCAATTGTTAACAATGAAACATCAAAGGTACCACCACCCAAATCAAAAATCAACACATTACGTTCCCCTTTTGATTTCTTATCCAAACCATATGCAATAGCAGCGGCTGTTGGTTCATTGATGATACGAAGCACATTCAATCCAGAAATCATACCAGCATCTTTTGTTGCTTGACGTTGAGAATCATTGAAATAGGCAGGTACTGTAACAACTGCATTTGATACTTTTGTACCAAGAAAAGCTTCAGCAGTTTCCCTCATTTTTGTTAACACCATTGATGAAATTTCTTCTGGAGTAAATTCTTTAGATTCGCCTTTATACTCTACTTTGATATATGGTTTGGTATTTTTATCAATAACTTTGAATGGCCAATGCTACAATTATTATTATAGAGGGGTGATGATGTAAGAATTAACAAAGATTGAAACGAATTAATATTAATAATTAAAATATTTTATATATATATAACATAATTATCATATTATTAGAATGTTTTAATATGTACCTTCATATCAGATTGAACTTCTGGATCATTAAAGCGACGACCAATAAGACGTTTAGCATCAAATACAGTATTATGTGGATTCATAGCAACTTGATTTTTTGCGGCATCACCAATTAAACGCTCAGTATCAGTAAATGCAACATATGAAGGTGTTGTACGGTTGCCTTGGTCGTTAGCTATAATTTCAACTCGGTCATTTTGCCAAACACCAACGCAAGAATATGTGGTTCCCAAATCAATACCAACTACATATAATAAATGTTTGATAAATTTATGAATATAGATGATTTTATTATTATCGTTGTTTTGAAATTCAAAAATTAATAAATAGTAATTACCTGCTTTCCCTTCTGCTACTTCTGGCATTTTGTATTTGTTTGTTTATTTTTTAGCAAATAAAAAAATATATTCACAGTTTTTATTGATAGATTTTTTTATTTTTTGAAAAAAATATTAAATGGGCATAATAAAATGCAAGGTTTTATAAGCTTTTAAGACATTTTTTCCAGCAAGTTCCATATTATATCATAACAACAACAATTACTAATCGTAGTAGATTACGGAAAATTCTAGAGTAAACTGGTTTTTTTTTTTATTAAAGTAAGGTTGCGGTAAACTAGTTCAAAACTAATAAATAAATAATTTTAAAGAATCGTCATCGTGGAAAAATTAACTGTTTCCATATCACAATACAATTACTGAAACTTTTAAATTGACGATCTGTTTATGAATCAGGGAATACCGATCAATTATTTGTAAAAAATGCGGAGGAAATTTAATATGAAATTTTTAATATGAAATTTTTAATAACGAAATGTTTATTCAAAGAAAAAGCAAAAAGAAATGGATATATTTAAAATAGCATTAAAGGTGAAGAAATTATCAATACAAATAAAGAATCTATAGCAGATTGTGATAGTAAAGATCAAAACGTAGGAAAGCATAATCAATAAATTGCAGTAACTGAATTTGGACTTGGTTCTAGATCGAGTAATAATTTCAATTCCTCATTACATCCTCCTCTCCGCCTCTTCTTCCTTAAAGTGACAATGTCAGATCCAGAACTTTTAGCAGAACCTACATCAAAACTAGGAGAAAGTATATATAATAATCCTATTAGTGAATGGAAAATTCACAAAGCTTATTTCTTTATGATTTTATTTCAATTAAATAAATAAATCAAATTTTGCTTTTTTTCTCTCTCAAAGGACAACTTATTATTCTAGATTCCATATCAAAATCAATTAAATTATATAATTAAATTACTTTCTAATAAATTAATAAATTCATTTTATAAATATATATCCATCCCTCATTATTATTATTATTATTATAATTCTTCTATGAATAAATATTGACCAATGATAGCACCGAAAATAACCAATAAAAGCGAAGTCAAAGGTTTTCTAAATTTATATAAAATACCCAAAGTTAATATGTAAATAACTGCAGCAAGGGAACTTTGCTTAGCAGCAACCAAATCTCTTTCAGTCCCGGCAGGTATAGTACCAAACTAGCCGAGGTTGTTATTGAAGCTTTAAGCAGATCGAAAGCTGTCACTGCTATAATACCAACAACTCTGCCTGTAACACCATCCAAAAAATGTTGCCATGAATTGATTACGAACCAATTTCTTTAACAGATCATGTCCCAAGATTGTAAATAAGAAACATGGAGTGAATATTCCAATAGTAATCAATACAACTCCTAAAAATCCATAACCAACACCACCATAGACATAGCCTCCTTTATATCCAATAAATGTTGAAAACATTACTAAAGATGATGGAAATACATTTCCAATAGCTATCGCATCCAAAAATGTTTGTTTTGTCATCTACCCTCCTATTGTTATAGCTTCTGCTTGTAAAAATGGAATGGTTGCCTTACGATATATAAATATTATTATTTTTTGCAAGTACAGTCAAACCTTGTCACAACGGACCATAATTAAATCCTTGTCATAACGGATTTTTAAAATTTTTGCTTCACATATAAAACCATATAAAATTTTTCTTATGTGTCTCGTCCACCCGCTGTGACAGGGCTTGACTGTATGTGGAAATAAATAAAAATTTAATAGCACATCCAATGATAAACTACCAGCTAATAAACCCAAACCAAGAATATGGCCGGGTCAGTTGTTTTAGCAACGCCTACACCTAATGATTGAAGTGATGGCAAACCTTTGAAACCAATATAAATAAAAAATCCAACCAATTCCTCTAAAATCAACGCAAACACCGAGAACATGATAGTTCCTATCGATAAACATAAATGCCAATTCGCATATCACCAATGTGACAAGATAATTCATTCTTAAAACACTCTGAAATACTCCCAAAACGGCAAAACTAAACAACCACCAATTGAATTTGCTTGATTTGTGCAAAATAAATGAATGCTCGCCTATATTGTGCACGGCTCTCAATACTATAGCTCCAACCATTGATTGTAATGCTCTGAATGAAGCGTTGGAGTAAATATTTTCCCATCCAATTTTTGTGTAGATAAAAGAAAATAATATTATCAAGAAAAATCCCGGTGTTATAAATCTGAACCGCCCAGGAGCCTACCTATAACTATTTGATAAACTCCATAAACTCTATTAAATTTATCAGTTGCAATCCAGCCTTTTTTTACAACCAACTTTTCTTTAAGCAATTATATTTCTGCAACCGGTCTACCCCAAACAAAAAATCTAGAATTTAAAATAATAAAAAAATTATTCAATAGGATGATTTTGGAACTTTGAAATTGATTTTCATCATTGTCATCTTGATAAACTCCATGATGATTCTCGTTCCTATTATTATCATTCTCTTCTTTATTTGTAATAATAATGACTGGATCATTTTCTTGCCTAGTAATTGTTGTTCATTACATAGTGAATTGGCCGAGTTTGGAGAGTTTGTGACAGTTGCAGAAGTTGTATCACCTTTTTCTTCAAATCCTATCTTTTGAAAATCCTCTTTGTTTGGCTTGACATTATTTAATTTTTATTTTTCTCGTAGGGTATTATTATCATTATTATTTAAAAGAAGTAGAAAAATCTTTTTTTTAATTCAGATTTCATTATTACATTACGAACTGTGAAAGATGATCTTACTACGTACTATAGTGCGTGTCATAAGTAATGGTCTTCTATTGACAGTCATGGAGATTTCCAAATATGGAGAACACTTGTCGATCAATTCATATGAGTTAACGTGGATACTTGTGCTAATGAAAAAAAAATTTTTAAAAACAAATTCCGATTATAATGATTGAAATAAATTCTTTAGAATATATACTTTAGGAATCCACTGGGATCCACATAACTTTATACACTAGATTTTTTCCTTACATATAGGAGAACTATTGGTCTAAAAACCCGTTTATTTATTTATTTTTTTTTGTTTGATTCTATAATTACAAGTTAGTAATGGTAAACACTAGACCACTAGCTAATACTCTACCATGTACCATGCCTCCAGATGTTTTTTCTGTAATATGTCAATTCATATTCTAATAATAAATTATGAACAGTATTTTTTATCCAGTCAAAATTGGAGTGTTTGGTTTTGACAAAGTTTCTATCTTCTCATTCTTGTCGCATGTCAAGTACTATCTGTTAATCTTTTGTTGTGTTCTTTCAAAAAGAATTAATAAATTTTAATAAATCGAGTGACACATCTAGCAAACCTTTTGCTGCTGTATTAAATTTCCTTGAGTTCTTCAAAGGCAAATATTTTATTTTGAATGTAGGTTTCATTATCGGTGTCGATAATAAATGAATGTACTAAGCTGAAAACAAAAATTAATGCAGGCAAGTCACATTGTGCAAAATCTGCAAATGAACATGACTTTATATACTGTTCAAATCGACATTTTATTCCAAATGCATAACCATTTTTTGTCATTATGCATTTTTTTGAAATGTATATTTAAATTCTGATATGTTTGATTCGCTCATTTCTTTAATTAAATCTTCATTGTCGAAACCATTCAGAGTTGTTTCGAAGTCACTTAATCCTGCAAAATCTATCAATGGCTCTTCCACCATCTCTTCATCTCTATTGTGATTTCCTCAGAACTTTGTCACTGCCGACCTTGCTATTGTAACACTCTGGATTTCACGCTAATTAAGAGGAAAGGTGTAAATATCCACATCATTCATGCTATTAAGATTAAAGATAGTACTTACTTTATTAACTCGATCCTCAATAACAATCTTTGCTAATTTTGAATAATGATATGTTGAATTTGCGGGGTCTTTACTAAAATTCTATGTAAATAACATAATAATAAAAAAAATATTACGAATTAGAATGTCAAGCCATGTATGCTATGATGAAGCCTATAAGATCCACCATCATAGCACACCTTCCACTTCAGGCAAGAAATAATCTTGCCTTGCGCAATAAAATCAACAACTGCAGGGTGTGGTTGGCCTACATATCAATGAAACTTATCAGCATATTCTATAATGGAACCTGAAGATCCGTCATCATGACATACCTCCCACTTCAGACAAGAAGTCATCTTGCCTTGTGCAATAAGATTGCTCAGTTAATAACTGCAGGGTGTGACAAAGGTATAGTAGGAAAAAACACGACACTAACTTGTAAAACTTTTTGCAAAACATTTGCTTTGGAATGACCGAAAGTTTTAAATCGTAATTCCTCACCATAGTATTACAGACACACAATCCAACATAGCGCGACCTGTTATATTGTTACAGACACACAGTTCAATATAACTCTATAATACTTAAGGCATCCCTGCAAGCAATATAATAAAATTAAAGGGATTTCTAACTAATAATTAAAGGTTGACCAAACTATTAATTAGAAAGGATTAGGAAATCAAACACACTAGTTTTATTAATTAAATACAGCCAAAGTCTATTTCATGTAAGTGTTATATTTATTAGGGTGTAAAGACAAATATTATATGTTAATTAATTATCCTTTAACTCAAGCAATTTATAACTGTCTTAGTACAGTATAACCTTGTCATAACGAAGGTATGGTACCAACAACTTAAATTCGTTGTGACAAAACTTCATTGTGACGATCGGGATCTACAATTTTTTATTGTACGACAAAAACTTTTTTATTACAAAAATAAACATAAATATAATAATATACCAACATAAATATGATAATGACAAAATGTAAAAATTTTTATTTGAAAAATGATTTAATGCTAGTTTGTGTTTGTTTTTTAATTCTTAATAATCCCAATTTTCTTTTTAATGATTTAAGAGTTTTAGTTTCGTTGTAATCAATCTCAATATCACCTTGTTGAAGAAAATCGTACACTGTTTCAATGGCAGCAATAGCATCACTAATTGAAACTTTAGTCTTAGATGTGGATGTACTACTTTCACCAGTTTCTTCTTCTACTGCTGGAATAAATGAAGCAATAATTTCTTCTTCTGTTATCATTTCATTGTCTTCCACCTCATCATCAATTGAAATATATTCTTCTACTGCTAATGGCGAAGTAAACTGTAATGTATTGATTAAAATATTGATTTCATTATTTTGGTTGTTTGAAATATCTTCTATTATATTTATAGAATTTTCTATTTCTTCATTAGATAGTTCCCCATCTAATAAAGGAATAATCCCAGTTTTTTTCCAACAATTAAAAATAGTTGTTGATGTGACACTATTCCAGGACTTAGCAACATAATCTATTGCTTTTTTGATATCAATTGGTTTTGGATCTATACCAGTTTGTGCTAGATCATAATTTTTAATTTTCTTTTTAAGAAATAATTTTCTATAGTTTGCCTACAATTTATTAATTATTAACATCAATGTAATTTAATATTAACATTGAAACTAAAGAAATTACAAACCTTGAAACTATGAATTATTCCAGCGTCACATGGTTGTAGATGTGCAGTTGTATTTGGAGGAAGGTAATGAATTTTTACATTTGTTAACTCTAAATTATCCATTAAATTATGAGTTGGGGCATTATCAACGAGCAATAATATATTTCTATTTTCAAGATGCATTTTATTATTCAAATTTTTTAGGTAATCATTCCATATTGTAAGCTGCATCCATGCCTTACTGTTCCAATAATAATCAACAGGCAATGTACTTTTATCAACTCCTCTTAATGGTCTTGGGGTCTGATATTTATGAATAAATAAAGGTTTTAATTTTTCTGTTCCAATAGAATTGCATGTTAACAATACTGTTACTCTATCTTTGTTTTGCTTTATGCCTAGAATAGGTCCACTTGATAATCCACGATTTGGTTCCATTTTCCAAAAGAGACCAGTTTCATCACAGTTAAAAATATCTTCCAATCTGTAATCTTTAAGTATATTTCTTAACTCTATTCTCATTTGAGGGATTTGTTCTATGGGGGCACTTTGAGATTCTCCATGCTTGTTATATTCTTGAATTGAGTATCTTTGTTTAAAATTATGAAGCCAACCAGATGATGCTTTAAAGTTATTTACTTCTAATAATTCTGCAAACCTTAAAGCTTTTTCCTGTATAATAGAACCAGTGATTGTTAAATTACATTCAAGAGCCTTTTCAATCCATAATATCAAGGGTCCATCAATCTTAGAAGTAGATAAAGTACTTGTTCTTTTTAATCTTGCTTGATAGGAATTTAGGTCAGTACTAAGCCATCTTTCAGGATCTTTTAATATGTCACTCACTTGACCTTGACTGATACCATATCTTGCTGCTAATTCAACGTTTTTTGGTTCAGGTTTATTTTTTTTTAATAAGCAAATCTCTCTTTTTTGTTGTGCTGTAATAAAGTTTCGTTTTTTAGATGATGATGATTGTTCTTGTGACATTTTTTTAAAAATTCATAACAAACCATTCAAACAACAAGACTTGTATTTATATCTTAGAATTTCATAAATCACAGAAATAATCATATGTTTTATTACAATTTTGCAAAAATAATTTGTTTTATTACAATTTTTATTACAATTTTGCAAAAATAATAATCATACATTTGTTTTATTACAATTTATGCAAAAATAATCATACGTTCATTTTATTATATGATTTTCACAAAAATAATCATATGTTTTACAATTTCCGCAGAAATAATTATTAGTACATTTTTTTTGTTGATCATTTCAGGTGACTTCGTTGTAACGCGATTAGTAACTATATCAAAAAATCTCTACCAAAACTTCGTTGTCGGTATAATGCGATTTATTAATAAAATTCGGTGTAACAAAAGTTTTTTATTATTAAAAAAAAAAAAAATCTCAAAATTCGCTGTGACAAAAATTCGTTGTGACAAAATTCGTTGTGACAAGGTTTGACTGTAGTAAATTTTGATGATCGGCATCGAATTTTTCATAGTAAAATTTACAATTGAATACTTTCAAACCCCAGTTTAATGCCCTTGTTGTTTAGCAATCATCACCAAATTTGATATATAGTTTCTTTATAGTATACATCTATTTCATGAAAATTT